AGTGATATTACTGCATTGTTATCAGACATTATATTTCTTCGTATGGTAGTGGTTCTTTAGTATGGCACTTAAAGGTATGTTTAAAATTAACTTCTAGTTTTAGTTTTGCTAAAAAGACATGACGGCTTAAAAAAGAAAAAACGATTTCCCAGTAAAAGGCGCGCGTTCAACCTATTGAAATAGTAATGTTAAAATCAAGGAAAACCCCGAAATAAAATTCTCCTTACTGTCAACGCATTGTTTGGTTAACAATTTTCTGTCAGTACGTCATTACCATATTTCTTATTTGTTAACAAAATATGAATTCTATTCTATTGAGAATCATGTTTTTTTTTATAAAACATTTTAACGGTTTAGAACGCGATATATTTTAGTTAAAATTTGAAAAAATATTTTTAACTACGGCCCGACGTTTTGGATGCTTTGCAGCAGCCGTGGTCATGGAGAGAATGTGTACTACTCGCGTAAACTACAGACAGTATCATGTTTTTTTGTCGTTAGGCCACTCTGGCTCTAGCCGCCTCATATTCAGTTGATGCATAAACAAAATTCCGTTACCGGTGAAGGCTGTACGTCCAATAAAATGATCAACGTAAATTGATCTCGCTGAATACAATACTCTATCAAAGTTAGCTCCACAGATTTATACGTTTTCAATAATGCCAAGAGCGCCTTGTGCTATTTAAGGTGATTCAATGTTGACTTATTATATGCTATTCAAATAATAATCGCCATTGTGGATGCGTTGACCTTGTGTGCTGGGTCATGCACCTGATTTTACTCGTTCTCAAACGGAGGACAATATTACATCTCCTAGATACCGAGACACGGTTCTTGGCGTCTCATGTTCATACTATATTTATTAGCTCATGCTTCAATTAAATACATAAACTACTGTTAAATAAAACACTTTAACGGTTTAGAACGCGATATATGTGTTAAACTTATTTGAAAATGATTTTTAAAAAAATCAAATAAGTTTAACTAAGTAATATATCGGGTTTAAACCGTTAAAGTGTTTTATTTAAATGTGTACTACTCGCGTAAACTATAGACAGTATTTACAAAGTACTTTTCGTTTTACAATTATTTATGTATTAGTATTAAAAGCTTGTCTAAAATAGTGGTAGCTTTAATTCATTACGTGTTATCATTACATTTATAAAAGCGACAAGATCTTATATATTTGTCGCACTTTAAACTGAACTCGATGAAGTGTAAGTGGAGTGAAGTGAAGTGAAGTGTATGAATTGTGAAAACAACTATAAATCAGCAAATCATTCTTTAGCATCGGCTGTAGTTTACGCAAATAGTACACATTTAAATAAAACCCTCCGTGACCACCGATGATCCGAAACATCGGCACGTAGTTATCATACATTGTAAATAAGTTACCTAATATATTTCGCGTTTTAAACCGTTAAAGGGGTCTATTTAAATCTAATCTTCAAATACTTAATAGTAAGATTTGTTGATTGCGCCAGTAACACGGATCCACACTACTTGCGCCTGAGTGTCTTTCACCGTGACGTCAGTCAGTTTTTGTTTATTATAGCGCTGTAGTTGTAAATGAAAAATATTATTGATGTGCCTGGGTTACATAAATTGAGCATACGTGTAGAATGCAATTAATTTGATGACATCGCGAATGGGTTGATTGGTCCCTGGCTGTCATAAAATACAATATAGCAGTCATAAAGTTGCGTATAAACACTTCGCAATCTATTCTGATCGTGTTGGGATGAACAAACCTAGGATCCAGTCTTCTTCAGATCTTAGAAGCTAAGATTCGCGGCAAAAATTCCGTTTCATATAGGCGTGTGAGCAACTTTTTCCATTTTGATGTTAAGAATAACATTCATAATGAATGAGTTGTAAAATTATGTATAGATTTATTACAATAATGTGTTAAATACACGCATGAGTTAGTTTATTTATATCCTTTAATTGTTATTTATATATTTATTCAAAAATTTACATTTTATATTAACGTAAGTAAAATCTAAGCGTATATTTTTAGTAGTTTTTTAATTCCAAACTTTTTAAAGATATTATTTTAATGTATATTTGCGTAAACTACATGGAATACTTACGTCGTGCATTGGAAACATTTCTGCAACGAAAATAATAATAAAAAACTTATGTCAATTTTTATGTAAAGCTTTAAATTAAAAAAAAAAAAACCTAACACGACCAACCGGTCAGCACAGATTAAAAATAGAAAAACGACAATGGTGGTTAACGCATTCAGCGGCGCGTTGCGTTATTATTAATCGACATGCGTCACAATATTTATTTATTTATTCAAGCGGAAGGGGAGAGTCAGTAATTGGCAGGTCACAATGGAGATTACGCGGCTTACCGCCAAGTTTTGTGATTCAAATATTGACGGGTCGGTGGGCGACAATACGGACCCTGTTATGATAATATTCCTGTCATTTCATACAATCTGTCCGCGAACTTTTCACATCCGCTGTTGAAATCTTTATAGCGCCGCGTCTGTTTTGTTATAATTGGAATGCATAATGTGACACGTCGTATCTTGTGGGAAACGATGAGATGTTTTATCTATTTACTAGCTGATCCGGCAAACGTTTTGTTGTATGCAAGATTAACATTATGTTTCAACAACGCTAACAAATGATTCGCACCTAATGATTTCATTTAATTAATTTCGTCAAAATTTTATTACCATTAATACGGTTCTTGCCATATTTTAAAACATAGGCATATACTGCTACGGGCATATTAAAGATTTTTTTAAGAGAAATCATTTTTTATACATATTTTTTTGGTCCTTGCCCTCAAACATTTCCCTCTATTTTCCATATTTTTCTTCTCTCCTATTAGTCCCAGCGTTATTTTAAATGGTCTTTTCAACACAAAAACTAATATGAAACGAATTTTCTAGAATTAACGCGAACTAAAATTAAAAAAAATAAACAAAGTAACTCTTTAGTCATCTACTTATAATAATATTATAAGTAGAATATAATAATATTATAAGTAGATGAATACAGATCGCGGTAAATTAAAAAGACAAAAGTCTGTGTCTGTGATCTCTGATTTCAATTGGCCACGCGTACATTAATTTTATATAAGAGCGTTTAGTGAGCTTACATAGTCTGTAGTAAAACATGTAAATTGTCAAATGACTTTTTTAAACTTGTGTTTTATTTAGCGTGTGCTCCAAGGATTTATATCGGACTCCACAAGTGTCAATAATGAGTACCTTAGCATGGCGAGGTCTCGATTCATAATAGCTGCATGAGTTCACATCAATCTTGGAGATCACTGTCGAGTCGACGCGCCCTCCGCGATTAATCACTCGAGCGTTTTCGATTAGCGCCGCGTAGCGGGGAAAAAAGAAACGTTCCAATTAAGAACCATCATCGGGTTTAATTTGTTTTCGAGATCATATTATGTGTACGCGCTTGAAATTTAGTTAGCCCTAGGGCATCTAACGTTGAGTCAAATGCCTCTCTAAGTATCAAGAGTTTGATTAGTACATGAATTGTGTCTATTACGATGTAAAATTAAATATCTACCACAGACTAAACAGAAATCATGATATCATGACAAAGATCCTGTTGACCTACTTAAAAAAATCTAGATTAAGATGTTTATGTCTATTTTATTGTCAATATTAAAGCTTATCTTGTCTAAGCACTGTCTATAGTTTACGCCATTATTCCAAATTAAAATAAAACGCGAAATGTTTTAGTTTAACTTGTGTTAGCTACGGCCCCAGGTTTCGGATGCTTTGATACAGGCGTGGCCACGGTGGGAGCACGATAAACTTTCGAAACGTCCGACGCACAAGTATTTTTTCGAACGATTGCGAATTTTCGCACGCCATGACCCCATGCTGTCCACACCGTTAATGCCTTAATGAAACCACAAATATATTAGTCGGATACAGGAAGAGGCAAATGGAGTTTCGCTGTCCGTTCCACGGCCCAGTTCCTTAAGTGCTCATAAGTTGTTCAATGCAAATACTTGGTGTTTGATCGAAGCGATGTTGACATTAAGGTTCTCGGTAAACCGGACGAAAGCATTTGTTTAACTAGCCCCAGGTGCCACGTGCCGTGACGCCGTTTGTCATAATTCCAATAATACCGTTTTAACGGTTCGAAACTTGACATATATTTTTTACAACTCGCCTAAAATACACACGGTGCATTTGATGACTAGATGACCTGAGAATGTTTTAATTTTTGCTAGACAAGCTTATTCAAATAAAACATTTTTACGGTTTAAAACGCAAAATGTAAGTTTAACATATTTATTTAACTACGGCACGATCTTTCACGATCCCGTGACGACGGATGCTTTGCAGCAACCGTCGTCACGGGGAGACTGAAGATAGGGGGTGTCCCTAATGTCAAAGTCAAAATCTGTAAACTAGCGCCATCTGTGTCCTCGTAGTTTGTATTTAGAGAAACTATCAAGGTCCTTACAGAATTCACTCTGTCCTATCGTTTTGTTTTAATTTTGAGGGTATAGTTAAACAATCTTTTGGCGATGGGTTGTCTATTAATGCAGGTTCTTTTGTCCTTTTATCTATATTTAAATTTCCCCGATCCCCACCAGCCGATGAAGCATTAACTTTATCGCTGAAGTTGTCGTGTTTTAAACTGCCAACTGCATTTAAATGGCGGATATCGGAGTAATTACCGCCAATGATACGATCCCGCTGCGCACTGTCATTTACTTACACGTTCTTACATCTGCGGGCCTAATTGTTCCTTAATTATTTCTAATATATGAATTTTCTTTGAAAATATTACAGACGTATGTCGTTATTTTTATTACATTTACATAACATCTTAATACAGAACGCCATTTTGCACAAACGAGAATAGACAAGCTGTCAAAGAGTCATAGACAACCACAGAACATATTAAGAGTTTTTGTTTTTAAAACTCAATTTCTAACAGTGTTGCATTGCGTCCCATGCTCCACGGGGGTATTGGCCGCGACAGCCTTGTTCAAAGAATCTAGAGAACCTTATCGTCTTTAATAAATGTACTAACTAAGAGGTCGTTAAGTAAGGAGTCCAACGGCGGGTACCGACCTCCACGGTGTCTGCCCCTAATACCAATCGCACAGTCTAGGTGTAATGCAGTTGTCTTGTCCCGGACATGCGGGTCAACCACGTGCCACAGAATATTAATAACATCATTATTGACAGCGGCAACCTTGTCATCGCTCATGGCGGGAATGATAAATTCTTCGTTTGCATAACGGAAAAACTTCCTGGCTTTTAACGCCATTTTGTTTCCCACGCGACAATTAAGGCTTAGTTACAACGACACTTATCGCTTTGAAAATGTTTTATGTATTTATTCCTTTGTGTTTTTTAATATCGCTCACCTATTATAACAATTCAAGAATTAAATACTGTCTGTAGTTTACGCTCTAACGATTTAATACGCGAAATATATTGGTTAAACTTATTTGGAGCTTACTTTTGATGTAACGCGAGAAAGCAGCAAAGCAACCAATATGTCGGGCCGTTGTTAAAAATCCTTTGTAAACAAATTGAACGATTATATTGGGCGTCATAAACCGTTCAAGTGTTGGATTAAAATCCAATTATTTATTTACAATGGAAAACTTGTACCTAGTTTAATAGGATCGTCCACGAAAATAGATAACAGAAAGTCAATTAGAAGATTTTACTTTTAGATTCCGAAATATAAAAAAAAACATACAACAATGTTTATTTCATCAGAATCACATTTATATTTAGAACTTATTCTAACAAACATAATATAATTTAATAAACAATATAGTTATTTGCCTCCGATCCTTTTCAACCAAATGGTTCTACATAGATACGTTGGGACTAATGTCCAAGCACTAATATAATGTAATTGTTTATTAAACCAGGTTTTTAAATAACCTGATTGTCCTATGTAGATAATATAATCAGATTTTCATTTGAGTCTTAAGATTTGTTAATACCAAAACTAATATATGTATTTTTGTTACAGCTTTACGAAATCAGCGATGACCCACAACGGAAGGAGTTTCTAGATGATCTGTTCTCTTTTATGCAGAAGAGAGGTAAGTCCGTATCCATAGTTCTTAGCTAATTTCAGTCTGAATTACCATTCAATTGATCAACCGAGAAGTCCTGTCCATCTTAATAACATTATAGTATCAAATAAGACACAACACAAATAAGTTTCCTATTATCTATGACTAGCTGTGTCAGCGACTTCGTCCGCGAGGATCGCTATTTTGGGCATCCAAATTTGAGTTGCCAGTTAATCTTAAAAGATAGACATATAGCGTCCTGGACTATTTTTTAGATCATTTAAACAGGAATCAATCTTTCATACATATTTTTTAGGTATCTTGAGTCGTTTAGGCAGCGTACGTCTCGGGAACCCATATTGATAAATAATTTTCCAAAGTTTTCACATTTCTCGCTGCATCTCCGCTTGTATTAGTCACAGGACGATGTTTTGTAGCCTATAGACTTCCTCGATAAATGCTCTAATCAACACAAAAAAAAACAATTCGAATACGTAGTTCCTAAAATTACCGTGTTTAAACATACAAACAAACAAACAAGCAAACTCTTCAGCTTTATATATTAGTCTAGATTCAAAATTTTGGACGCTTTATGTAAGCCGGTGTCAATGAGATATTAAGTAATAAATTTCGCATTTGAAACAGTTTTTTATTAACACTTGACGTGACTTTATACTACTCAATGCATTATTCTACTCTATTAGAGAGCCTTATCTGATTTCAGTATAAGGCGTTTATTGATTCATTTTTTACGATAATTTATCACTCTCAAGTACTCTATTGCTCATCGGTTTTGTTATTTCGACCACTATAACTTGATCTATTCCGCCACTATCTCCAACGGCTTCACGGTTCCATCTCTTTGGCGTATAGATACCAATCGGATATGGTTTATCTGTCCGTATAAACGGTTTTATATTGTAAAGATCAGCGTGTAACTGATAAAATCGTGAGTGATTGACTGTCTATCCGTCTTTCTCGGCTGTAATTAGCTTTGTGAAATCTAGCTATGGTTGTAGATATAGATCTAGTACTATCCTATTAAACTGTTCTTACTGTCTATAATTCACTTAGACCGGTTTATAAACTTACCAAATAAGGAACTCACAAACACTACGTTGGATGAGCTCGTTGGTCTAATGTGCGGTTTGTAACAACAGGTCGTGGATTCGATCCCCACCATTTCCAAAATTTTTCTAATCAATTTATAACTTCGTCTGGAAATCTGGATATAAAATGGATGGTAGAAATATCGAAATTATGTCTGGGTCGTGAACCAGACCCACCACAAATGAAAAAGCCGTGAATTTTAATCAAGTTTCGGTTTAGGATTTCCGAAAATCCGAAGGCATAATAGGTCGATAGCACATCTTGTTTAGATACTATAGGCTGGGGTTCATTAAAAAAACTAAATACTATACACCTTTAAATAAAACACTTTAACGGTTTAAAACGCGATATAATAGTTATAACTTATTTGAAAATGATTTTTAACTTCGGCTTGTCGTTTCACGATATATCGCGTTTTAAACCGTTTAAGTGTTTTATTTAAATATGTACTACTCGCGTAAACTATAGACAGTATTTAATTATACACCTTTATAAGTATCAATTTATCAGTAGGTACTATATTTTAAATCGAATATTGCTTAATTAAAAATAAAAGTTATACTTCAATATAATATGCAACTTTAAAAATATTTAAACCGTTTAACTGTTTTCATTTTTAACAATGTCCAATAGAAGTTAGAACTAAGCTGCTATTTTGGAATCAACTTTGTTGTAATCCACGATGTGTATCAGGACTTTGTTAAAGGAACATTCCAGAAATTAATTGTAATAACATAGACATATAAAACGAATTGCACATAGTGGTAACATATGAGTGTGAGAAATCGCATCGGAGTATTAATGTTCCCAAAGATATCATAATAGAAATAATTAAGCGAAGATCTCTTCAGGCGATGATCGTGCGCGGGCGCATGATTGATAACTAGCGCTATCTCGCTCAGATTCCTTACTAGATCATATGTTTTGTTTCTTTCTGACATTTATTGATCAACGCCATCATAGTCCGGAGTATTAAATCATGTTGATATTAGAACTAGTTAGCGATCAATTGTTGTGGAAAAAAACAACTACCCACACTCCTCTTGATTATGGATTGGTCTGATAGAACAAAATATTCGCAATTAAATTAATAATTAGTTCATTTCCACCTCTAATCCAATGATTTTATCGAATATAATCGAAAAGAGAACTTAGTTACACCGTAGTGTAACATTTAATGTGTTATGAATACAATTTAAGCTGAAAATGTCTATAGCTGGATAATTAGTAAAAACATATTTTTGTCTTTTACAAAGAAATTATCAAACTTTCGCATTCCGATTTTTACTTCTCGCTTAACGTAACATATGTTTCAGTGTTGAGAAAGTCATAAACCAAGTTCTTAACAAAAATATATAATTCATTTTGTATCAATCAATCAATAAGTTCAAATCGTGTCTAAAACTAAAACTGCTTAAAAAGGGTTATTATGACATTAATATTTAAACGATAAAAATACTTGCGGTTTGGAGAAACCCGCTCCAACAAAAAAATATTACAATTAAAGTATGTGAAGACTGTAAAACTTGGCGATAAAAGGAGTGCCGGCGAGTTTGTTGCCAGTTCTCGTTCGGTCTACGCTCTTGATTTAAGGTGGTGGTAAATTTGACTTTAGAATCTTTTAAACGGGTGTGACATAAGTGTACTTAGTTACCTACCTGAATAAATTATTTCTTAATCTTGACTTTATTATTGTAGAACAATAAGCTGTCATAACAATCAATGGATAACAAATTGAATTTACACGCACTTGTGATGGCAGTCCACACGTTGAAGGTATCTCCGTTGGAGATCAGAACGGCATATCTCGTTCGGAATAAATTATTATTCAATTTATCACTCCGTGGCCAATAAACTTCTGGTTCTTATTACGCAAACCAGATAACAGTTAACAAATTGTTATTTTTCAATTTCGATGTTCTTATCGCAAAATCGCATAGACTGTGCAGGGCAAAGTGCAGACATTTTTCTGTGTTTCAATAACATAATATTACTAGCTGTGTCCGCGACTTCGTCCCCTTTTAATAATTATTTATTTTTGCCGACAACTTCCTCAGCTTTATAAATTATACTTAGCTGTTGTCCACGACATTGGCCGCATTCTGATGTTCTTTTCGTGGACATTTTATAGATCATTTAAAGGGAAATCATTGTTAATAATAGGATAATTTTTTGGTTCTTCAACTGTCTTTGCAGCACACGCAACGGAAGCATCACATGTGAATAATTTTTTCCGTTTTTTCCATATTAACTAAAGTTCCATATTAAAAAAAGTTAACTAATACATTTCGCGTTTTAAGCCGCTATAAATGGTTTATTTAAATGTTTACTTGCATAGACTACAGATGGTGCTTATAAAGTATTCTATTAAACAAGATTACATTGCTAGTATAATTCTTATAGCGTATATTTTTAACTATGTTTTATTCGTAAGGTCGTTATTTGTAACGTATTTGTTTTATTCCTCGTGTGGTCGTCATTATAGAGATCATCAAAGTTTTAATTATTAGAATTAATTTATCCTCTCGTACATGCCAGACATTCGTCCGATCTCGTATTAATAATGTTTTATCATTTATTATTGCTTGTGAGTAATGAAAGTTAACCCGCCACGCCCCGCGACGTAGCCACGCTTTGTCTTCGTCTTTGTTCGGAATTTGACTTTATTTTAATCAAATACTTGAGGTCAAATAAAGGACGGATTATGAATTAAATATAATTCGAGAGATTACTTTGAATTCTTCGTTTATATCATTCGCGGGTAGTTATAGAAAAAAATATTTAACCTTATAATGGTATTGCATATAATACTTAAAACAATTCAGTCAGACAATTACTGGAGCAGCACGAACGCTGTGGATGCCAGTTCGATTTCCGCCTGTGTCGTACATTTTTTCAATAGATTTGTTTTTTTTATTTGCTCTTGCCTTTTACTCCAATTGAAGTCTTGCATATTGTAAGCTGGTTCGCGTATACGAAATTAATTTAGTGTATTGTGTAAGATGTACCTGTGTACAAAAAGTACAACCTTAGATATCAAAGATAAAAACAATCAAGGATCCTAATACCCTAGTGATAAGGCATTCGTGGCTATACCTTGTTGACTGACTCGTTAAAACTG